GTGTGTAAATAGTTAATGTACTTAATAAAACAGGTTCTTACAAATGGAGTTTATTTTATATGAATTTATAATTTAGTGGAAGTCTAAAAATCTATGTAAAGACTGTAATATTTTTGTATTAAATATTATTTATCTTTCTGTCACACCCTGTATTATCGATAAATAGTATCCAGTAATTTATACAACAAGTAAGTGATCAGAAGTCATGTTCTAATTATGGCAATACATTCAAATACGCCTTTCAGAAATTAATATTCCTATTTTTTTTAACACTGTATGATTTATTATACAAAGCATTAACAAGCCATATACAAGTGTAACTCTTGCCATAAGTTTCATGAAAAAAACATTAGTTCTAAAGATATATATGAAAATATTAATTCTGCAATCCTTACTTTTGACTCCTTCTGACAGCTCACCCTGTAGAGCTGCAAACTTGATGTCTATAAGAAAGTTGCCCATTATGACCTGAAAAGGAACATACTAAAATTTTAACTAATTCTGTCAGTATCCAAAATCTATGTAAAAAGTGCGGGGTAATTTTAAACTTTAGCTTTAACCTATTCTGCCGTGATCTGAGTAGATTTTGGGCTCACACCGTTTTCGAGATATGGCTTCCAAAAATATGCGATGCCATCTTGACAGTAACATCGAAATAAATGGGCTGGTCATATGAACCATTGGACCTAATTCAGTAGGCAATGAGCTCAATGCACTAAAAATTCGTCAAGGTGGCATCAAAAGTATATTAACCGTTGAGTAGCGACATAAAGCGTCGGTGCCTTTGATCTTGGATGGTGCAAATTTTCTTTCTCTCTCTCTTTTGACGTTATTGACGGAACGACACACTAAAACACTGCTCGAATTATGAACTGATCTTGAATGTGATGTTTACACTGCTCGACGTAATTTGAAGTAAAACTCTTTTGTAGTTTACATTTATAATAAAGGTTTGGTCATTAGGCAGTTTTATATTTATGAGTATTTAACTTATGTAATAAATATAAAAATATATATCACTATTGATAAATTTCAATTTTTTTACCTACATCCGGATAAGCTAGAGACTTGAAAGTTGGTAGGTGCACAGGGTTTTGATTTTTGATAACAATAGAAATTATTACTTATGGACCTTCTTATTTATTAATCGAGTTGTCTCAAACTTTAAATTTCGCGTTGTTTAAACATGTCGCTGAATACACTTTTTGACTAATAAATCCACAACAACTAATTCCTATATCAGCTGCCGGACTAAAGTGAAAGGGGTTGTTTACATCTTTAGAAGACGTCTTTCTATTTCGCGTCGGCGCACTAGAATTCGGTTCCCCAGCAGTCGCTACTCAACGGTTAATATACTTTGGTGGTATCGCATTCTTTCAGATGCCATATCTCGAAGACGCTATGAGTCCAAACGCTGAATGTTATGGGCCCAATAAGCCCAATTGAAAAGCATCCTGGCCCATTTATCTATTTTCATTTTCTGAAACATTGCAATGCCAACTTGACATCAGCGACGGAACCCTCATGGACTATTATAACTACGGTGTAAAAACTAAAGATAGTTATCTTAAGCTGTTTTTTAGCCACCACATTGGTTTAAAATATTTTTTAAACCATATTTAAAGTGACGTCATGAATTAATAGATTGCAAAAATAGGGTGTTTTAAAAATATAATCTGCTGTCATGACAAAATTTTTTTGATCGTATTTTTTTTTAATGATTGTTAAATCAGATGAAAGAAGATAAGTGTTTGATAGCGATTTTAAGTAAAAATTGAATTATTTTTAATAGGTACATTGGAATCTGAAACGTTATTATTTTATTTTTGGTATTTTTCTTGTCAATAAACATATGGTATCATATTTATTCCGTAGTTCCACAGATACGCGATTGTCTAACGATTATTTGCTGTAGATTTGTTGGGCTTTTCCAAAGTTCATCAACTGCCAAAGAACGTTTAATTGCTTTTAAATATTTGCTGGCAAATTCAGAATCTGAAGCAAACTACGTAATTATTTTTATAAAAAACGTACAATTGATAAGTAATCCTTTAACCTTACTTTAATTGAATTATTGTTTCATAATCAAGAGTAACCCATAGGTAGATCACATTGTCCAACTGTTTATGATGACCATAAATATTAATATTTGTATTAAAACATTATAACCAATTAATTTATGAATATGAATCACATAACATATGTATGAAGTTATCAAAAATCAATAAAAATCAACAAAACGTCACATATATCAAAATGTTCAAAGATGGAACAGAGCAAAACAACATACAACAGCCACAATCAGAATCTCTTATGTGTCAACCGTTATTGAACCATATGCCTCCGACTGGTTCAAAAATTCTAGCTTTGGTTTAAAATATTTCGTACGCGACGTCATAGTTGCATCACTAAAATTTAAACGGTTTAAAACAGTCGAAAATATTTTAAACCATACACTCGCTAAAAAATACCTTTGAAAACGTGTAACTTGTACACATTACTGTACTGACCTGTATGCGATATTATTGGGAGTTATATATAGTCCAATCGACCTTTGAATCAAAATTTTGGAGGAAATACAGGAATTTTTGATATAAGTCACTTTAGAGTATTTGAAAACGATAAGTATGTAAAAAAATTTTGTTCTTCAGGCCCCAGCAATTAGCGAAAAACAAGAAAATAAAGTGTTTAAGCTATAAAAAAAGTTCTTAATAAAAATTGTAAAGCATAAAGTTTTACATAAAAATGATATTTACCGTTTTTTGCGCGACTAGCAGAAAGTTAAATTTCAAAAAGCCCGCGCGAAGCGGCCATATTGAATTTTAGTACCACTCTAATTTGATAGATGGCAGCACATCGACTCAGAATATTACCATTGAGTTTCCCATCTATTCACTTTACCTAAAATCTATGGATATATCTTACTATTTATAATTTTATTTTATTAACATTTAATAATAGATTTCTTTAATTTATTTAGTCATATATACTTACTTTCAGGTATATATCCTTCTAGTTGGTAACCTATTTCATAGATGGTAGGACATTGGCCAATTTAAATTTTTAATTTGTCCAGTCCCGTCGTTTGTATAAATATTTTAAAATGTTTGTTTTTAACTTTGTTCTGTTGTTTTTTATTTAAACTCAAATATTGTTTTTGGTTTTTTCAAGCTCAAGTAGGTACTACTTCTATTTTGAGGTATTTTTTAGCGAGTGTTTGGTTTAAAATATTTTCGAACGTTTTAAACCGTTTGAATTTTAGCGATGCAACTATGACGTCACATACGAAATATTTTAAACCAAAGCTAGAATTTTTAAACCAGTCGGAGGCATATGGTTCAATAACGGTTGACACATAAGAGATTCTGATTTTCGCTGTTGTATGTTGTTTTGCTCTGTTCCATCTTTGAACATTTTGATATTTTTGACGTTTTGTTGATTTTTATTGATATTTGATAACTTCATACATATATTATGTGATTCATATTCATACATTAATTGGTTATAATGTTATAATACAAATATTAATATTTATGGTCATCATAAACAGTTGGACGATGTGATCTACCTATAGATTACTTTTGATTATGAAACAATAATGCAATTGAAATAAGATTAAAGGATTACTTATCAGTTGTACGTTTTTTGCAAAAATAATTACGTAGTTTGCTTCAGATTCTGAATTTGCCAGCAAATATTTAAAAGCAATTAAACGTTATTTGGCAGTTGATGAACTTTGGAAAAGCCCAAAAAATCTACAGCAAATAATCGCTAGACAATCGCGTATCTGTTGGAGCTACGGATGCCATGTTTATTGACAAGAAAAATACCAAAAATAAAACAGTAAACAACGTTTCAGATTGCAATGTATTAAAAACACTCCAATCTTCCTTCCTTTCTTCATCTGTTTAAACAATCATTAAAAAAAAATTTAATTCATTTTTTAAATCGACTTCGCTTCTCCTGTCTAGAACTTATTTCAACCAGTAATCCATCAAAAAATAATACATCGAAATCAGAATATTTAAAATTTTGTCATATGACAGTTAGCAGGTAATTTTTTTAAAACACCCTATTTTTGCCATCTATTAATTCATGACGTCACTTTAAATATGGTTTAAAAAATATTTTAAACCAATGTGGTGGCTAAAAAACAGCTTTGGTTTGGTTTTTTAACCTTTAAAAATAAAAATAAAATCTTTTCGACATAATTTGATATATATTTACATTGACTTTTTTAACTTTTTATGTTAAAATTATGTAGCTTATCCATAAAGGATTAGTCATGGTAAATAAAATTAATATTAACCTCCCCTTTTGTTCTTTGTTTTAAATTTTTTGTTTAACTTTCATTTTTGTATTAAACAATTTTCACCTTTCAATACATTGACTCCATGACTTTCCATTTAGGTGTGTTTGATGATGAAGTAATCACTTCGAAACTAGTCGCCAATTCATTGACTTTGTGAGAAATAAAGGAACTTTATTTTTGCCTTCGTACTCAATTCCAACCCTCACCCCTAAATGATAAAATCTTGTAATTTCAGATATACCAGTATTAAACAAAAATAACTGACGGTCAAAATTTCAAGTTGAATATTTAATCATGTACCTTTGGGTTAAATAATCATGTCACAAATTCTTGGAGAAAATGAGGCGCAAAGGTTGAAATATTACTTCTTTAAAAAATTAAAATACTATTTTTGTTAAACGTACTATCAAAAACTAGTACTTAGGAATAGAGTTACGATTTCTACCATAAAAAATATAAGGGTGAATGTAATCCACTTAATACAAAACTGGAGATACGCTTATTTACTTCTAAGGTACAAAATTATGATTCCCATTTTATGAGAGATTCCAATATAGAGACTAGAATTTCTGACACTGTATACAAGTTTATAGCATCTGAGATTACAATATACTTGAGTACATTTCTAAAATCAGTGATTCTAATATTTCTTTCAAAGTTATTATTCAAATTTTGTATTAAATTTCAGATGAGTACGATATACTGGAGAAAAAAATCAACATTATTTTACATTCAAAACCGATTGCTAAAAAGAAAGCTGTGAAAGAGGACAAGACGGCGATCAAAGGAGATGACAAAGATACAAGCAAAACAGATCGAAGCAAAACTCATGAAAGAAGAGGTTCGAAAGATAAAAAAGTGTCCGAAACATTGTTAGAAATATCGCCAGAATATTTTTCTGAATTAATGAAATCAAAAATCGAGAAAATTGCTGTTCCTTCTTTGGTAAATACATTAGTTTTCAGTCCTGCATTTTGCATAATAAAGGGTCTTTTAAAAGTTGGATAACGATAAATCAGATTTGGCGATCTAAAATGTAAGAAGAAATATTTCTTGTTTTTTATCTTTTGGAAAATTTGTTGTGCGTGCCTGATTTAAATATGTAAAAGCTATACCAGCAAGCTTTTAAATAAGGCACTAGTGTGTATTTTAAGTATTTATTAAAATAAGTTAACTACAACTTCTAGATGAAACATGAACAACATATCACCTGGATCAAACTACTGACTACTGACAGTTCACTGCGTCCACTATGGCTAATGTTACGTTGCCGTACTTATAACCATATTATACATCCTTTCCCTTATAAGTAAAGTTTCATAGGTTTATTAACTACACGGCCTGAACGTGTAGTCAGAACATACTTATTTTTTTATTGAGGAGGTGGTGGCAGAAGGTTCAGGTTCAACTGGTTGAGAATCTGACATAGTTACTTTGCTATGACTATCCGACTGTAGTTCTGACATTGTATTGTTAGGTATAAGGTAGCGTTCGGAAATGCTCTAGCTCTAGCTGAAACTGGCGGCAAACCGAAAGCGCGGGAAATTTAAATTTAAAATTTTTAAAATGTCTAATAAAAATAGTAATATTGATAAAAATGTTTGCGAATTTAGCACAATAGAAATTGAGGTTAGTGTTTTATTGTTCAACACATTTGGAAGAATCGTTTTTAACGCCGAATAAATATTTTCCCACCGAATCAAAATATGGATAATCAAATTCTTTTTGCAATTATCTATATTTGCGAAGATATTTTGGATTCATCTTCTGATGATGATGAATCATTAGATGAATTAATGACAGTGATAGTGACTAATCGAAAAAAAGTGATAACCAAAAGACCGAAAGTGAGGTTATTTATAGAAAATGTTGTGCATAAATACAATGACGTGGAGTTTAGAAAACATTTTCGGTAATTTCAATTATTAATTATGTCGTGGATGAGTGTTTATTATAATAATAATGAATTTTTTACAATATGCTTTTCAGAGTCGGTAAGTCTACGTTTCAATATTTGTTGAATTTAATCGGACCTGGATTAGAACGTCAAGGAGATGTTGGTAAAAAACCAGTAAGCTCAGAAAAACAAATATTAATTTCGCTGTGGTTTATGGGAACACCTGAATCCTACCGGTAAGTAAATTTTTTTCTTTATTAAATCATTGAATGATACCTGAATTTCCTTTTACAAAACAATTGAATTATTATTTTCTAATATTTTAGATCTGTCTGTAGCCGTTTTGATGTTTCTGAGAGCACCGGATGGAACATAGTTCAAAAAGTAACTAAAGCTCTGTTTAATATATCGCCAATTTTCATTAAATGGCCCAATGAGCACGAAGCTCAAGTATCTAGAGAAGACTTTGAATCAAAATCTGATATCCCCGGAATCGTAGGTGCTATTGATGGGATGCATATTCATATACCAAAACCGAAAGTAAATTCGAAGTCGTATGTCAATCGAAAAGGCTTTCATTCCATCATCTTACAGGTATTTACAATTTTTTCAATAATTTTGACTAGCATCGTAGTAAATAATTTTTATTTTTATCATTTGTTGTACGAAATTAACTTTTTTACATAAAGAGAATTTTTGTGTGTTCCTTAATGACTTTCTAATATTCATTATTATTTACAGGCTGTATGTGATCATAAAATGCGCTTCATCCATTGTTATGTTGGAGAAATAGGATCTGTCCATGATGCACGCGTTTTAGCAAAATCAGATCTGACGAGATTTTTTTGTGATGATTGTTTTCCGGATGATAGTCACCTTATTGGTGATGAAGCTTACAACATTGGTAAATATTTACTCGTGCCTTTTAAAAACAATGGGCACCTTACTCCAGAGCAGAAAAATTTTAATTTCCGATTATCATCTTCACGAACCTGCATTGAAAGATCATTTGCTCGATTAACTGGTAAAGAGCGTAGGATTTTGGATCGTTTACCTATGCTGAGGACAGAGTTAATCCCACGTTTTATAATTGCATTGTGTACCATTCATAACTTAAACCTAGAAGAAGAGAATCTAGAAGAAATAGAGTTAATTGCCAATGATATTCTTGAAGACGAAGGCGAGTATCGCAAACATGAAGGAATATTGAAACGACAACAAATTATGCAAGCTTTGCCGATTCAAATTGATCAATTTGTAGATTAAAATTGTTGGTTAAAATCAACGTTGTTAAGTAATTATGCAAATCACTCAAATAAACACAGGATTATTAAATCAAAGAAAAGTATAACAGAATATTAAATTTATTTATTAGAACATTTAGTAATTAAACATATTTAATTTTTTAGTGTAACAAATTTAATTATATTGTTCATGTTAAATTAATTATATTAAAGTTATATATGAAATTATTTTAATAATTAATTAAAGAAACTGTAGTTCATTATTTTGGCATTAAAGTGAGAAATATTGCGTATTTCAATTTTTTCTCCTTAACAACTCCAATTTTTGTTTTTGATATTCGCTTACATTAACAAAATGACTTCCCAGCATTTCTTTCAGCTCTTTGAATTCGGTAATTTTTTCTTTTCGAAACAACTCCCGTTCAATTCTATTCTTTTTCCTTTCTTCTATCAATTCTTCGAATTCCGCCGAATACTTCATTTTTTTTGCTGTATCAAAAAAAATAATGATTTAATAATTGAACTATATAAATATAAAATTTAATACAAAATCTTTTTTCTCGAATCGTCAGTATCTTCATCACTGACTGCTGTTTCTGAGCCAACTGATGAAGCCGTAGACAACGGTTTCATATATGGTTTTTTGCCAACAATATCATGAATTTCCTGAAAAAAATATATACAACATGAGGTAAAAAAATCAAGGTGTTTACAAGTATAAAAAAATGAAATAATTATATGAATTCATGAAAAATTACCTCGAAAAATTCCCATTTCTCCCTATCGTTCCCAGATTTATTGTTACGTTGAGCAACTTTCTTATATTTACGCAATAACGATTGCCACTTTGAATTACATTGCGCATTGGTAAACTTGTAACCATTCTTTTCCATGGTTTCTGCAACTCCCATCCAGAATTTATTTTGAACTGTTGGTTTAGCTGAGAACTTAGATCTCAAGTTTTCACATTTATTTTTATAAACTTCAATGAATAGTCGAGTCGCTTCCTGTGTCCACAATGACTTTGACTTTTTTAAATCTTCACATGAACTAAATTCATCATTTGCTTTACTATTTCCAGGACAATTATTATCTGAGTCATCATCCATCAAATTCTGAGTATGATCATTTTCATGATATTCTGCAGAGTCAACATATTTCTCAGTAAAATTGTCATCAATAGAGATCATCTTCTAATTTATCGTTCTTGTGACTATACATAGATTTACTCCGGGAAGTAGAAAGTTTTGACCCAGAAGCAGATGTTGGGAGATAATCTGATGAACTACGGGACAAATGTGATTTTGGTGATGATGATTTTTGTTTCGAAAGACTTTCATGGTTTGAAACGATCTGATCAATTTCTTCATCCGTTAAAATTACGGATTTTTCACTGGTGCACTTATTTTCCACGCAAAAATCATAAATAACAGATGAAAACCATAAATCTAATGAAAAAATAAAAGAAAATTAATTGAATATACTTAATATAATTTTAAAAAGGGTTGAAAAACTATACATTTTCTAACCTTTATAGAAGCGATTAGCTGTCTTTACACTCATGGTTAATACGTAAATCTCTTGTGTCAGCATGTTTTCCATAGTCAATGTTGTCCATTCGGTACTAACATTCATTTTTACTTTTTTTTTTTAACTAAACACACTTTAAAAGTGGACTAAATAATTTAATTGATAACAATAATCACGTTCATGTGATGATTGTTTACACTGCTGATATTTGGTCTTGGCGTTCAAAACAAAAACATTTTGGAATCTCTATCTGATTATATATATGAACTTCAGATGGAGCCACAGTTCAATTTTAAATTAAAAAATTTTCGCCCCTTCCGCCATTTTTAGCTAGAGCTAGAGCATTTCCGAATGCACCCTATGCAGCCGATGTTACAATGTCATTACTTAGGTCAGTTTTTGTTGAGAATTCATTTTCAGAAGGCTTTATATTATCATACCTGTTTCTTCTGACAACATTATTTTGACTATTTTAAACCATGTGTGACCTAGGAGCAACATTGCTTTTAAGGATCTTACCAGAGTCCCAAGTTTTATTGACATGATTATATATATGGTGCATGACATTTGACCCTTCTTCCAATGGTGTAAGAGATTTATTACTTTTATATTTTAAATTCAATGAACGTTTTGCCTCTAACCTTTCTTTTACATCTTTACACAATTGGGACTGTAATTACTCATTTGATGTAGGAAGTTTAGTTTTGCATATTCTACTATTAAATAACTGCGAGGGGGAATAATCCATACCTTTTAACGGTTAGTAATTTACAATTGGGTGATAATATGTCGCAATTGTGAGATAATAAGTCACAATTGCGAGATAGTAACTCATAATTGCGAGATAATAAGTCGCAATTGTAAGATAATAAGTCACAATTGCGAGATAATATCTTACAATTGCAAGATAATATAATTTTTTTATTTATAAAAAAGTGTCCCCAGGAAGCTTTCGTCAAGGTTTCATAACCCTAAATTTCGACTTGTCAGTTTGACTATTTTTACTAATAATATGATGAATTTATACTATAACAGAAAGAAAAGTTTATTTTAGGATTCGGATAATATGATAATACATTTTTTTAAGATTTTGTCTAAAAAGGAGAATTTAAATAATGCGAGAAAAGAAATTGAAACCATATTTATGAAAAATGGATGAATGAAGAAAACCTCTCCTAATTTCGTGTGATATATTTTTCTTTTAAAGTAATGGTTTCAGGTTTTTTTGTTCTGTTTTCAATCATCTATCTATATTAGGGCGAGTTCGGTTTTTCTTTGATTTGAAATTTTTGTATGAAAATTATATAGTTAGGTAGTTACTCAATTTTTATCATAAAACACCAATAAATATGTAAATAAATCTTTTATATGTTTAATATTTTATTAATATGAAATTGGTAGGTACGTTATTTTCAAATAGAAAATGTAAAATTAAAGAATAACCCGCCTTTGCCAGCAAGTAGATCGTTTTTTATATGGAAGGAAAGTATTAATTTATACTTATTTTGGTCGCAAGCTATTGAGCTACCTATATCCATTTTTTGTAAAAAAAAACCAGTATCAACTCAACCAAAAAACAAATATTCAGTTGAAATACTAGTTTCTATTTCGGGGACAATCTGAACTATTTTACAATTTCGGTGCTGCCAACAGATATTAAAACCTGATTTATAAATCAGGTGTTAAAACGGTAGTAAAGTACTAATCAGGAGTTTTGACTTTTAAACTCGCTTTTTAAAAACTAATAATTTTATTTTTGAAAATTCTTTTAATAATTTTTATATTATAAATACAAAGTAAAATACAGGGTGTTTCAAAAAGGTATGTCATAAATTATACCACGTATTCTTGGGTCAAAAATAGAACGATTAAACCGTACTTACCTATATACAAAAGTGCACCCAAAAATAGTTACAGGGTGAATAAGATAAAAATTTAAATGAATTTTTTTAACATTGCTCTTAAACCGTTTAACATTTTTTCATGAAATTTTATGACGTGTTGGAATACCATGACTAACAAAATCGAAGTAGAGGCAAAATATTTTTTTTTTATTTTTGTAGGATTTTGGGTGTGTCACCGCCCCTTTCTCTATTCAACTTTTTTGTAATATAAAATTTTATTAAAAATCGAACGCTACTGAAATGCAACATCTATTTGGAAACTTTTTTGTCTCTTAGTATTTGTTTGTAAAATGTTTGGTTTAGACGATACAGCCACTTAAAATGACATATTCAATGTAAATTATACGTATGCAAAAATATCAAAATTCGATTTTCATTGTTAAAACTATATAGTAAATGTATACAGGAGGAGAATGTAATTTTGAACACCTGTTAAATTAAATGTTTTTATTTTGATGAAATTAGTTTGTAATTTAAAAATGAACTTGATTTTGATATTTTTCATACGTAGAATTTCCATTGAATATTTTTAAGTTGTCATTTCAAATCGCTGTATCGTCTA